GTGAAGCCCTTTTCTTGAATGAAAAATGTCGTGGAATATTATTCTTGAAAGATTGTTTTTTTTTGTGGAGCCGGTTTTATTTTGATCACATTGTTGCGGAGCCTTGTTCTAGACTGATATAATGTTGCTGAGACCTCTTCTAAAATGAAATATTATTGGTGAGTCCTATTCTGAAATGATATATTGTTGTAGAATCCTCTTCTGGAATGATCGTATTGTTGCGGGGCTCTCTTCTAGAATGATCATATCGATGTGGAACCATTCTAGAATGATCGTTTTGGCGCAGAGCCCATTTCTAGAATGATCGTATTGTTGCGGGGCTCTCTTCTAGAATGATCATTTTATTGCCGAGTCTTCTACTATAATGATCGCATTGTTGCTGAGCTCTACTTAAGAATGATCTTATTGTTGCCGAGCCTTCTTCTATAATGATATTCTGTCGTTGAGCTCCCTTTCTGAATGATGTATTATGTTGGAGCCTCCAGTTGAATTATCCTTTTATTGCATTGCTCTCTTCTTCAATTATCGTATCGTTAAAGAGCCCTCTTCGATGAGGATCGTATTGTTACTGATGAGCTGTTTTCTTTAAGAATTGTATTGCTGAGGAGTCCTCTATTAAAATACTCATGTTGTTGCTGAGCGTTCCTTTGAAATGATCGCAGGTTTCTCTTCTAGTTCATTTGTTGCAGGCTACTCTTCTAGAATGATCATGTTATTCCTTACCCTCTTGTAAAATCATATACAATTTTGGAACAATCTTCTAAAATGATTGTATTGTTGTGAAGCCCTCTTACGAGATGATCGTGTTTTTGCTGAAGCCTCTTCAATAGGTAACATAATGTTGTAGAATCCTTCTCTAGAATAATTGTATTTTCATCGAACCCTGCTCATGAATGAGCGTATTTTTGTATATATTTTTTCTAGAATGGTCGTATTGCTGTGGTCATGTGGAGCCCCATATAGTCTGGAATGGTATATTGTAAAGCCCTATTCTAGAAAGATAGAATTTTTGAAGATATCTCCTCTAAATTGAGGGTATTCATGAAAGCCCTCTCAAAAAATAATGGTTTCAATTGCTCTTCTAGAATGATCGTATAGTTTTGGAGCCTCTTCTAGAATGATCGAAATTTTGTGGAGCCCTCGCTAAGACTCAATGATACATAGATGTGGAGCTCTCTTCTAGAATGATCGAATCTTCGTGGAGCCTTCTTCTAGAGTGATCGTAGTGACGTGGAACAATGAGCAATTTTCTGAAATGATCGAATTTTGTGGAGGGCTTTTCTAGAGTGAGTGTATGGTTGCAGAGCCATATCCTAGATTGATCGTATTGTTGTGTATCCATCTTCTTGTTGTAGTTGAGCCTCTTGTAGAATGACATATTGTTGATGAGCCCTCATCTAGAACGGGTTGTTGTTCTGGAGACCTCTTCTGGATTAATCATATTGTAGCGGAAACCTTTCTAGAATGTTATAAGGTTGTTCAGTCTTTTTCAAGAATAATATGATGTTGTGATGTCTTCTTAAATCGTATTGTTACGGAGCACTCATCTAGAATGATCGTAATGCTGTGGATCCCGCTGTTTGAATGTTCTTATTGTTGTGAAACCTTTTTTATAGTTTGATTGTATTGTGTAGGATCCCTGTTCTAAAATGATACATCGTTGTAAAGCAAACTTCTGGGATGAGATATTATAATTGAGCACCCGTCTAGTATGCTATATTGTTATGGAGCGCTCTACCAGAATGGCATGATGTTGCTAAGCCTTCTTCTAGAATTATTTATTGTTGTTGAGCCATTAATAGGCATGACATAATGTCTTAGTGACATTTTTTAGAATGATCGCATTGTTGTTCAGGCTTCTTCTACAATGTCAATGTTGAGGTTCTTCTATTGTTGAGGAGCTCTCTTCCAAAGAAGCTCTCTTCTAGTTATAAACTCTAGCAAAGTCATTACCAGTAAGTAGAGAATATATGTGGAGCCTTATTTGGAATACTCGTATTGTTGCTGTGCCTCGGCTAGCATGATCGTAGTGTTGTGGAGCTTCTACTAGACTGCTCGTATCTTCAATGAACCCTCTTCCAGGATGAACATATTCATGTAGAGCAGCTGCTAGAATGATCGAAATATTTTGGTGTTGTAGCGAGGAATCACTACCATGTACTGATAGTGAACGCCAGTCTATTGTACATTGCAATGCTAATCGGCTATTAACATAAGGTGAGATATGAAAGAATCTGAATTTGATATTTTAATGAAAAACATTGGCAAAAACAAGTTATTCAATATTTATCCAGATAATTTCGGTAAAGATCGATTAATCCGCTAACCTTAATCATACATTGGAAACCAGATCTTTATACCTCGTACGGACAATCATCGTCGAATAACGTACCAACGTACAGTGACTCACATATTACAGGCAATTAATCCAGAGATAGTAAGATGGTGAGATGAGTACCGCAACATTATCACTGCACAAACGAGTTGGCATGAGATGAATGTTGACTATTAATATGTTAAATATTCATTACGTCAATCTGGTACGTCAATTCAGTACGTCAATCTGGTACGTCAATTCAGCCGGTCAATCTGGTACGTCAATTCAGTACGTCAATCTGGTACGTCAATTCAGTCCGTCAATCTGGTACTTCAATTCCGTACGTCAATCTGGTACGTCAATCTGGTACGTCAATTCAGTCCGTCAATCTGGTACGTCAATTCAGTCCGTCAATCAATCAAACTTGGAACAATATTTCCGTCCATTATCTCACGTCTGCTGTTCTCCCCCGTCTACCTTCTTTCGCTCGTCTCTCCTCTTTTATTGTATAAATGCCACAAAACTTTTGTCAATATAGGTGTGAAAATCCATAAAATTTTGATCAATAATCTTCCAAGAAAATTTATTAATTGTGATTAGAATAGTTTGCAGCGAATAAATGAATAAATAAAAACCTACGAATTATAAATCTAAAATTTCTACAAATAAGTATTCTTAATTATTATGAGAGTTTATAAATTAATGTAATTACAGAGCCTTCGTCAAGAATGAGCGCATTCATGAGAAGCCCTCTTTAGCGTATTTTTTCATTTATGGATAAAAGGCGGTATTTTGCTCGTATGTCCGTTCCGTCTGTCTGTGACTTCATGCTTTCGTCGACGAGAATATGCGCTCTCTGTCACTCACTGCAGTGAGTACTGAGTTATATTTTTTACAAAAATGATCGTATTGCTGTATTGCCCTCTTCACGAATATCGTATTGTTTAGAGCTTTTCCTGGAATGATCAAAATGTCGTGGAGCCCTCGTCATGAATGATAGTTTTGTAACTTTTGTGGCGTTGCACTTTTCTGGAAGTATCGTGTTTTACCGAAGCCCCCTTTTTGGATAATATATTATTGTTGAATCCACTTCGCAATTTATGTGTTGTTGCTTCGCCCTTTTCTAGATTCATATATTGTTGTGAAATCTATCTTCTTGAATTATCGTATTGTTGTGGAGCCCTCTTCATTAATAGATCTATTGATGTAGAGCCTTTTTCGAGAATGTAGCATTGTTCTCTCTTGGAGTATAAACTTACCTTTGATGAAATTTCTTCTAGAATAATCGTAACTTCGAGGACCCTTCTTCCAGAAGAATCATGTAGTTGCTGAGCCATATTTTAGACTACTCGTATGTTGCTGAGTAAATTTGTCTTGAACGATTGTATTGTTGCTTAGCCCTCTTCTCGAATGATCTCTATTTTGATGTAGCCCTCTTTTAGAATAATATTATTGATGATAAGCCTTATCTAGAATGATCGAATTGTTGCTGAGCTCTGTTCTAAAAAATTTTACGTGTTACCTAACTCTCTTCCTGAACAAAAAATTTTTGCTGAGCCCTATTCTAGAAATATATAGGGTGTTGAACCCTCTTCTAAAATGATTATTATTGTTGAATACTCTCCTAAAATTATTGTATTGTTGTGGAGCTTTTTTCTGGAGAAGGTAAAATAAAAAGAAATAATTGCAAGGAATGGCTAAATAGTTTACCCTTGTCAAGTGAATTTGTGATCTAGAATCTAGATCATGCGTTTCTCTGTCCCGGTTTGTTTTGTTCTACAGTGTCTTACAGGATGGTATTTCTGAATCATTACAAATCATCTGTAGATAAACTCGTAGGACCTAATTGTAACCATATGTCTCTGATATCCATCTATTAGAGTAATGAGCCAGACATCATCCAAATGCTGATGCATTTTTTCCCCTTTTGTGGGTTTGGTCCGGCAAAAGAGCGTATCAGTGCTACGTCCTCTCTCTGCTGGTGCTATGGGTCGTTAACGCCAAAAATCTGGAGTAAAAATATGACGGACGTATGCAGGATTTCAAAATTTGTACGCTAAACCAATAATCATGATTCAGTGTTCCCCGAGTGCTGAGATTATTATTGACAATTATAAGTAGCTTAACAAGATGCCCGCATTCATCTCTTCTCATGCATGAACTTTTCGGCAGTTCAGAACAACTTGATGCGACGTCGGTTTTCGATATTAATGGAACCAAGATGAGCACATAACTATGACTAAATTATTATTGAGAGTTTAGAACGCTGGTGTGAATTGCCGCATTGTCCGCTGCTCTCATCAATGACCAGCGTGATGACGCGGCTGATTTAAATCGGGTCATTCGCTCTAAAAACTTTGATTGTGGTGCAGGTCGTCGTAGTGCTGACATAGACTTTGTGTTGCAGGTCGTCGCTGTGCTGACGTAGGCCTTGATTGTGGTGCAGGTCGCCATTGCGCTGATGTAGACCCGTATTGTGTTGCAGGTCGTCGCATCGTTGACGTAGATCTGACTATGTTCCAGCTCATCGTAGCGCTGAATTAACCATTGATTCTCTTGCAGGTCTCCATTGAACTAATGTAGACCCGTAATGTGTTGCAGGTCATCGCTGTACTGACGTAGATCTGATTATCCTCCAGGTCATCCTTTCGCTGACTTAAGCATTGATTCTGTTGCAGGTCGTCACGGCACTGACGTCGGCCGAGCAGGCAAGCAGAGCTGCCGCTGGAATGCGCGATGTGAGTTCTAGCAGAGATTATCGGCCAAAGCCAAACAGAAAGTGTGGATAGGAAATGTGTTTTTTTAAAGACGCAATAACAACTTTATGAATAAATATGGAGAATATACCTTAGAATATACCTTATATATTCGCTTCTGATCACGGGTCTTGAATGATTCTATCTTCTGAATGAAACAACTACTAATGGTGAGCAAACAAGAGACTACCGCTGCCAGCAAGAGGACTTTAGTTACTGAAAGCATTTGAGCAGACGGGGGAAGAACTTCCACGGAAACGCAACTTGAAAGATCAAAATGATTTAATAGGGTCAAAGAGCGACAGCAAATGTTATAGTAGATCATGGGTGATGTTTCATCAATATAACATGTAGTGCCGCAATTCAGTATCTTGCCTCATGTGTAAGTTAAATGTGTTGTAGACCGTATATTTCTGTCGACATTCCCCAATAGAATACTTTTTAGATTTCTTTCGTGGCTATGAATTATGTTCAGTAGTATCAGCAGTTGTAGTGTAAAGGAGCGGCCATGGAGGCAGCATTTAAGAGGGTCGTTGCCTTCTTGGTTACTGCCAGACAGACAAGCAACATCTCTCACAAACCTATACACAAGGTTCAGATTTGGCCTTCTCTCTCCCAGCATAAGATGCACTCTTTCTCACGCCTTTTCAAGATCATTCCCTATATGTATACTCCCAATACCTTATCATACAATGTCCAAAACTTCAAAATCAGAACCGCAGAAAGTAAAAAAAATCATAACTATTCATCATGAGCATACACTGTCCGACCTTCACAAATAATTTTCGAACAATGCAGCATTCCCCCTGATAAACATAGTCCTCCAGCAACAAGCTCGCACAGCCTGGTCCACGAACACAACACATGACTCGTCAATTGACTCACATTTTCTCCAGGCCTCATTGCAAAACAACATTGACAGTTTCAAAGCTTCAAATTATTGCACAAGGACCCTCAATACACTTTGTAGGAGGGCCAATTGAACTTTGATGACGATTGTCCTGATCACGGCTCCCATCACTTTCCGACCTTTAGGCCAAACGAAACTTTTTCGCACGACAACTCGACCGCAAAGAAGGAAACCACACCGATGACGAAATTAAACATGAAATTACTTTTCAACAGACTTTGTTTCACATACAGGACGTCATTAAATTCAAACAATACACCCCACTTCACCAAAATAGCTACCACAGAATCCACAATAGCCCAATGCATTCTCACAAATATAATTAACATGTACAACATCAAAATCATCCCATTACAATGCGAACAAGAAAACTACACCACACCTACTCATCTGCTATAAATACTACATAATAGAAGACCACCCTACACATCAATGCACATCCACCACTCCCTCTTGCTCTGAATGAGCCGCCTATGCACTAACACCTACAATAAATGTCTAAACTGCCACAATGACCACCGCAGACTAGCCGCAAACCATTTTATCGTTAACAAAAAAAGTACAATACAAACTGCAGTCACAACAAAAAACAATAAAAATTATAGTATGCATAGCAGAACAAGCAATCCAACAAACATGCCTCAACATAGCTTAATGCTGACTGACAAGACACAACTAAAACTGACAGCAATAATATTCGAAGCAAATATCGCCAGGCTATGCATAGACGAGATCCCTCAGAACGTCCCTCTCCTCCCGACAACTGAAATCCATTACGAAGATCGCGACCCCAGAAAACGAAGAAATAGTGACGATCAATACGGAGAAATATCCAACACCATGATGAAGTACGTATGAGATTGATCTTCTTGCTTTGATTATCCAAAATCTTATCGGCAACTATTCAACGAGGAGCTTTACGTGTTCCTGCTCGACAATAATTCTGTTGACGTTCCTTATCATTTAAATAAAATAGGATAGCGAAGCTCTTCCATGTCGTCGTTGTTAATAATCGTCGTCTTGACTCTTAATATATCATGGGGACGTTTCACAACTGTGAGTCTCTGGATAGAGTTTTTGTCTAAGCCATATTCCTGAATATATTTACTCACGTATATATATATATATATATGGCTCTGCAGGATGTAACTCCAACTAACTCAACTGCTTCCTAGCGTGGACGAAATTTTTCTTGTCCTCCAGTAACTCTAAAAATCGTATCCGCCAGACGACCAATAAATTGGTCGACAGGTTATTAAAGAAAATATATTTCAGATGAAAGACTCATGCTTCGGGTTCCACAACAATGTCAGCTCTTTCTTTGCCGGGTTTGTTGAATCTGGGCCACTGATCACGAAATTGGATCCAAGTTGTGCCCTCCCACCAGTTTGATGTCACTAGTTCTTCTGGACTACAGTCTCGTGAAAGAAGATTGTCTGGGTTCCTCTGACCAGGGACGTGGTTCCATTACGCGGACTCCAGACACTTCTTAGAATGAAAAAGTTATTGGCTTAATCCACTGGTTTTGCCGTGCACGTGAGGTTGATTGCATTTCGCTCTTCTTATTTTCTCCGGCTGGTCTCATAAAAGGCAGAGATTGCTTCCGTTTTATCCCATTTTCACTTAACTTGCCAATGGGATCCTTGATGCCTAACAACTCCAAATTACACAGCTTCGAATAGTCTTGTCCGGCGCAAAACATGTCGTCTATTGAGGTTTAACCTTGGGAATCACCGACGATACCGCTAAATGTCCATCCAAATCGTGTTCCCCAAGCTGCAAGGCAACTGCCTAGATCCACGCGTGCACCCTTCTTTACAAGAGCTTCATAATCTGAACCAATTGTAACATATATTTTACTCCGTTTTGCATAATTCGTTGACAAGTCACTTATGACTTTATTCGAGCTATTGAGGAGCGCCCAGTCGGCTCTAAATTAAAAAGTTTTGTAATACAGGAAGAAGTGGTTCTCAAGTGGCTGATCGCTCTAAATCCAAACAAGTCATGTGGACCGGACGGCTTCCACCCCAGATTACTCAAAAAGTCAGCAACTGTCATAGCCGTCCCTTTGACGTAATTTTTCTGAAAAACTTTGAAGGAAAGAATTTCTTATCGCTTCGAATCACCGACATGTGGAACAGCCTCCCCGATGCCTTCGTTGGCGCTCCAAGTATGAAAGCGTTCAAGAACAGACTAGATAAAGCTATGGAAAAATATATGTTCAGATTTGAAATGCCTAGCTCCTTATCTAACCCGGTGGAAGTCTAGTAGCTACTTCAAACTATCGCCAGTCATGAAAAGATCCGGTCAAATGACACGAGTTTAGATCTATGAACAAGGCACGAAAAGGAAAAGAATCGGCGACAGGCCACATCAGGCCTACACTTCAGCGCCGACATCACTATGTTATGTTATAGAATAGAATAGAAGTGTCGGCGTTGAAGACATAGGCCCATGGCCTGTTGCCGATTCTTGAACTTTTCGTGACTTGATTCACAAGGGATCCGGCCTTTGGAACCCGATCTTTCCATAACTGACGATTGATTGAGATAGCTGCTGGACTTATTGCCTGCTCCGTAATTCAACGATGCTATCAGGGAGGCTGTTCCACATGTCGGTGACTCGAAGCGAGAAGAAATGTTGTCGCATGGATGTGTTCCAACGCTGTTTTTTTAGTTTATAGCCTGTGCTAGCGTTATAAGTATTTTATAATAGCTATAAAATAAGTATTTTATAGCCTGTGCTATATTTTAGTGTTATGTTATGAAAGGATCTTGCCGGCTGACTGGAAAGAAGCTCAAGTGACACAATTGTTTAAAAAAGGTGACAAAAGCTGTCCGGGTAACTATCGCCCTGTTAGTTTGGCAAGAGTCGTTTGCAAGGTAATGGAATTTGTCGTGAGGGATCGAATGATCGACCATTTGACTGTTAATAATCTCAAATCAGACTGACTGTCAGCCAGTAGATCCTGCACCACTAACCTCTTGTCTACTCCGAAATCTGAATGATTCGACCCGCCTGCTGGACGAAAGGGAGCCAGGAGATGCAGTGTATCTCGATTTTGCCAAGGTATTTGACAGTGTCCCGCATGAGCGGCTAATGCGTAAAATGATGACTGTTGCATGAGTCGTTGGGAATTGAGAGTAATGTACTCAAACGGATCACGATTTTCTATTAGGGAGACGACTACGTGTCAGTATTAATGGATCCGTTTCAGACTGGGCTTCAGTGCGCAGCGGCGTGCCACATGCAAGGAAGTGTTCTCTGGCCTGTTCTATTCGTTGCGTTTATGAAAGATCTGCCGGAAGCTGTGTCAGCGCGTGCTCGATGTATGCGGACGACACAAAAGTTCATAATATAGTGAAGAATACGTCGCAAATAGTACAGTTGCAAGGTGATCTTGACAGGTTGGTTGACTGGGCTGATAAGTGGCTGCTGCGTTTTAACGCCGAAAAAATGTAAAGTAATCCACCTTGTCAAGAATAATGAACAGCAATATTACAGTATGAGAAGACACGGTTGCAATGACAGAGTGATGATGTCGAAGTCGACAATGTAAAAATATATTGGAGTTTATGTCGACAATGAGTTGAAAATTTCAAAGAATATTGAAGCTGAAGATAATAAAGCCAACTGATCAGACTGATCAAACGCTCTCACGAGTACATAGATGCTGAAGCGATGAAACTGTTGTAACTATTTGTCGCTGTTGTGCGTCCGAACCTAGAGTTTGGAAACGCCGTGTGGTCCAAAAAAACTAGACAATGACAAAAATTGAGAGTTCTCAGTCGAGAGTGTTCAAAGAAGTGCAACAAGGATAATTCCTGGATTAAAAGGCAAGCCTTATGAAGAAATCTTAAAGATTATGAAGCTTCCAAGCCTCTGTTGTCGACGTTTGCGTGGTGACCTCATTGAAGTATACAAGTATGCCCACGGTTTATCCAAGGTCCCAGAAGGATTACTAGAATTTGAAACAAGAACCAACACCAAGGGCATCGGCTATAAACTAAAATAACAGCGTTGGAACACATCCCTGCGACAACATTTCTTCTCGCTTCGAGTCACTGAAATGTGGAACAGTCTCCCTGATAACAGATAACATCGTTGACGCTCCGAGTCTGAACGCCTTCAAGAACAGACTAGACGAAGCTATGCAGGAACATAAAATCAGTTTCGAAATGCCCAGCACCTTACTGGCCTCGCGAAAAGTCCAGCAGCTATTTTTATTAATCGTCATTTATGGAAAGATCGGGTTCACAAGGTTGGATCCCTTGTGGAATCGAGTAACGAAAACTACAAGAATCGGCAACAGGCCATGGGCCTATTTCTTCAGTGCAGACTCTTCTATTCTATGGGAATTTCGGGCTCCTCAAGCCTTTACGTCAAGAAGTTGCCGGCACACGATTAACGCCTCCTCCCACATTAGTTTTCCTCCATAGGATCATCTCCATCCTTCCCTTTTCCTCCATTCCCGTGATAATTATATTATGACGGAAGGTTTTTCTAACTGGAATAACGCTGTCATCCGGAAGCATGTCTCTGGATATATTCTCTCCCACGGGTTGACTCCTCAATTCGTTCACAAAGAATGAGGTTATGGAACTCCTTTGACTTGACTCATCAAAAAATAGTCTCACTGTTTGGGGTTGACTGGATTCCAAGCTTCGCCTTCTTACCAGCATCGAAATTCGCAGTGAAATTCGTTATTACGCTGGGCGTTATACTGATAGGCGGCCGTCTCCGGGTTAAGGTTGTTGGTTAATTTCGTTTCAGACGGTTCTGACTATCGTACTTTCTAGTGGTCTCGCTCCTTTGCCAACTGGTGGCAAATAACTATCTTGACTTTTTAGCTGCTGATTTGACAGTTGATGAACTAGCGACAAGACTCTGCATAATGTTCTGGCTTAAGGCACAATATGCCTTATGCCTTCTTAAATTTTTACATGCCTTTCATTGAAGGTCAACTTTTGTGCCTTCCAACAAGCTTCAGTTCTGGGCTTTCCGCTATAAAACAAACAATAGGCTCCTTGCCCTGAGACTAGACCGGCTGCTTCCCTTCCTTAACTTTCTTTGATTTCTCGCTCTGATCTCGTTTCTGTTCAGAACTTCTTTTCACTTTCGTATCTTAGAAACAAGACTCAACTAATACAATTCTTCCATCTTTATGGTGAATAATGTTAATAATGAACAACCACTCCTCCATCGCTCCCCCCTGTGTGTGCCATTCTCAGCACTGACGGGTTCTTCCCTTTCAACTCCCCAACCACAAACCTAACACACCTACGATTAACAAGGTTATGCGCAATGCATATTTTTCATCTCTTGCTGTCTTTTCCATTTCTCCTTAATCTTTCTGGAAACGCTCTGCCTCCTCCTGTTACCCTCCTCCTCCTCAATAACAAAACGCTTTAACCAAAAAGATGACTGCCGCTCTACTTCCTGAATATCTCCCGTCTTACTCACCATCATAATCACCATGATCATAATCACCACATATATCCCCCACCATCATTTCGTCAATCTGAAAAATACCAAAGAAAACTAAGAAAAATAATCAAATTAAAAAGATGCGAAACGCAAGTGTATCGAGAGTATTTAGGATATTTTTCTTCCAACCATGTTTGTATATGTAAATACTGTAGATAAAATCAACAGTCTCCCACACTTCAGTCATCCACACAAGCCCTAAAATTCCTGACAGACTACCGTCTCCCTTCGCTTCCCCAAGCCAACCCCACACACATACAACCAACCTAATTATACGCCTTCTTCGTCTCCTACTATATTACCAGTTTATCCTTCATCTTTCTGGCCACTCTGTGCCACCTGTTTTCTTTTTAGCGCATTTTCTCATTTATGGAAAAAATGCCCCTCTATAGTGTTCGTTATGTCCGTCCGTCCGCCTGTCCGTGACTTCATGTTTTCGTCGACGAGAAAATGCGCTCTCTGTCACTGACTGCTGTCAGTACTGAGTTATATTTTTCCCCGAGCCCTGAGTTATTTTTTCCCCAAGGGCACCACGAACATTACATCTAAGAGCACGGAACCGTGTAATCAGCCAGGAAATGAATACTTTCCGAAAAGACCTAAACGATGGCGGTAATCATCATCGATTCAGAATATCTCATCATACGTTAATAAATGGTGATCATTTACATGATATATCGTCTCACACAAATGTATATGGTGTTTCTATTATTTAAATTGGTATTGTGGCCAAAAAACTGTTTCGTTATTTTTAAATCACACTAGTGTTCTACATTTGGAATTGTTTCAATTTTTTAGATTTGAAAGCGCACGACTCCATCACCTTGTTACACTGCTTTTGAAGACAGTTATAACTTTTTTGTTCTGTTCTTCCCTGATTACTGATTGATCATGACTCGTTTACTATCCCTGAACTTGAACCTACTGCACAGTATGTGCTCGCTGGTGGCGTCGAGAGCTACTTGTTCGCGACGTGCTCCGCTCTCGCCAACACCGTCACGGGTGAACTGTTCTCCATTGACCTCGGAGGCGGCAAAGAATACCGCAGATTTGCCCCCAATAATTCGCCTGCTGTTGATTGGGTGAAGCTGAACGACAGCGGCGCATCGACGGACATCTTCGCCTGCTCGGACGCCGCGTTTGCAATTAGTAAGTTGGAGTGACCCCGGGCACAATTACAGTGAATAAGATTAGGCTTATTTCATGCATTCAAACTTGTTCATTGGGGCGAAATTTTGGTGAAAATTATTTTAATGAATGTTAGTTTCATTCATATATATTACTTTAGTTACATATTTGATTCATATCAGATATAAAATGAGTGCCCTGAAAGTTGTATTTAAGTATGCTAGATTTGTCAATGATTATCATATGCTACAAACGCATCTATGTTTGATTCATATAAATTTGATTCATCTATGATTGGTTCATTGAAGCTTGTTTTGTACGCGCTTGATTCATTTGAGTTTGATGCACGATGTTTATTCAACTTTGTTTGACATATGAGAGTTTGGGTCATAATGGTTGAATGAAATTTTGTTTATTGAATCTGCGTTTTGACCAAGTATTCTTGATTAAGTGTGCATGATCCAAATAAATTCGACTCATCAGAAATGTATTCAAATAAGTTTATGCATGTGTGACTGATGCATGTTTCATCTATTTTGTATTTATGTAAAATTTATTCATACATATTGTATTCATGTTCGCTGTATTCACTTAAGTTTGATTCATAGGAATAGAATAGGCTTCTCTGATCGTAGTGAATAGCATTAAAACCTGATTATTACTGCAATGTTTAATTATTATTCGGGAAATTGATTCATTCATGTTTATTATTATTATAATTTTATTATTATACTGAAATAAATTGCTATGCTAATTTCATTCGTGGATATTACTTTAGAACAGGTTTGGTTCAAATAAGTTGTAAAATGAGTGCCTGCAGGTAAAGTGGTATTTACCTCCGATTGCTTTTTAAATGATTAGCATATGCCTTAATTAGATGCATATATAAGTGTGATTCACGTACATTTGATTCATGTATAAATATTTGATTTTTTAAATTGGTACATTGGAGTTTTGTTCATCTAAGTTTGATGCACGACGTTTGACTCAATTATTATGCTCAATTTTGAGAGTTTGATCCATGTTAATTAGATGAAATTTTCATTAGTGAATGTACGTTTTATCGAAATATTTTTTTCAGTATGCTTGATTTAATCGATTCATGAAAATGCATTTCAAATTAGTTTTTTGTGACATTTGTAACCTTGCTTCTTTGATTCATGTACGTTTGATGTACGCTTGATTCATGCTTGTTGAATTCATTTATGTTATTTTGTGACATGTCTAATTCATTTATGTTTTATTCATTTACGTTTTATTTACGTATGTATGATTCGTTAAATTTGATTCATGGACTATGATTCATATAAGCTCAATTCATGAAATTTAGATTCGCGCAAGCTTTTCAACGAAAGTTTATGTTACTGAATGTTATTTCAGTTTATGTCTGTTTCATGAAGGTTAATGATAAGAGTTTCTTCACGTTTGATTCATGCAAGCTTGATTCAAGCAAATTTGATTCATACAAATTTGATTCATACAAATTTGATTCATACAAATTTGATTCATACAAATTTGACTCAAGTAATCCTTCCTCCTCAGACGCTCTCGTGTTCAAGATCAACGGCTCTTGTTATGCAGGAGCCGCTAGTGGCATAACTCTGTACGGCATCCAGAACGACGAGCAGGACTGCGGTGACGCGCCTGCTGAAGTTGTCTACGCCATGACGCCTCGTAAGTTGTCTACGCCATGACGCCTCGTAAGTTGTCTACGTCATGACGCCTCGTAAGTTGTCTACGTCATGACGCCTCGACGTCTGACAAAATGTATTGAACAGCATGGAGGTCACCTACAAGATGTAATATTCAAGAATTAAACTTGTAAGTAAACCCAACGAAACTTTAAATGTAGCTCTTTGTAAAAAAGAAAGAATTAAAACGCTATCTTTAATACTTTTTACTTTGTGATTTTTTTAAAAGAGTAAGTTCCCACGCCGCACCCTGTAGAATAGATCAGGGTTTTTGATACAACTAAAATATTGGCTTCAACTTACCCCGCATTTGACCGATATTTTTCACCGCATTGAGACAACATTTTACAGTTGGTAACATGTCGCCTCCACTTTATTTAGGTCCTGATGAACAGGTGTGAGTTTCCTATGTTAATACCACAAAGCAATAGGCAGACGAAGTCGAATGTAATCAATTTAAACACAACCGCGTTGACGGAAGTCGCTTGCACACGGAGCTGCTCTGCTGCTGTCCTACATAGCATGACGAGAGCCGTGGCACATGGCAATTACAAGGAGTTTTACAACACCTCTTATTTATCACAATCATCCGTCCGTAATTGTGTATCAAATTATTATTCGTAATATTCCGACTTTACGTTTAAATTAAAATATTAAAGCTATTGGAACCATTTTTATTCGACATCTTAAAATTCTAGGACAAAGACAACTAGGGCAATTTTTATTTGAAATATGTAACTTAAAAGAAATTATTAATGCATGGAAAATCAATGAGACAAGAAATAAAAATCAATAAGACATGAAATAAAAACCAATAAGCACGGCAAATCAATTTCGATAATTAATTAAACAACGCGTTTGGTTTCTTGCCTGACAATCCTTCACAAACTCATGTTACTACTTAGGACATTACCGAGCATGTTGTATTACCCTACCATTGAATTGTGTGTAAACTAACAGTCAATCTGATAACAGTTACAACAATAGAATTCATTGATCTAATTCCTATACTGGGCAAAATTCTTTGGAATATTGCAACGAATACTGTATCTGCATAGATTTAAGAAGGCATTTATTTATCGGAATACAATAATCATCTTCATGTAATGCATTACTAGTATATACTATTTACGCATATAATTTTTCAGCAAGATAAATTCTATATTTTTCTTATGGCAGTAGATAGAAATGCAATTGTAACCCTTCATGAAAAGGGCGAGAGTAATTCGGTCATTGCAAAAAAATCCAAATTCGTCGTGAAACCGTATGGAAGGTGGTAAAAAATTCAAGTAAACTGGTGAAACATGCAATCGACCTGGTCAAGGAAGGAAACGAAGTGTCCGAACAAAACAATTGGTCAAAAACACGAGGGAGAAGTTGAGGAGAAACCCTCGTCGCTCAGCTGCAAAATTGGCTGCAGAAGCAGGAGTCCGTCAGACATCAATGCGTAGAGTCCTCAAAGATGACCTCAAAACCTCCCCTTACAAGATGCAAACAAGGCATGAACAACTGACCGTCATGAACGAGTGAGGCTCGAAAGATGCGAGCATATTCTGGATCTCATTGAGGATGGCACGCTGGTGTTCAGTGACGAGAAAAAAATTTGACAATGAACAAAGCGTTAACCGTCAAATTGACAGAGTTTGGAGTCGGGATGGATCTGTGGCAACCAGAACAGCAACACGGCGTCAAAATCCCATGTCCGTGATGGTTTGGGCCGCGGTAACCGCCACTGGGAGGTCCCCACTCGTTTTTGTCCCCTCGGGAGTGAACATGAACATTCAGCGATACATTTCGGACATTTTGGAAGCTGTGTTGTTACATTGGGCCCGTAAACACTTCAAAGGCGCACCATGGAGTTTTCAACAAGACTATGCCCCATCACCAGAGGTGGCAGTAGCGCACTACATTTTCAGTAGCGGTAGCGGCGCTACATTTAAGCAATTGTAGCGGTATCGGTAGCGCCCGCTACATATTTAAGTAGCGATACGAGGTTTTGCCGCTACAGCGCTACCGCTACATTTATAGATAAATCTTTTAGATTTTACTTAAAAGTATCAAATATTATTTAAAAACCAGCATGATACATACATAATATACATTACAGAATAAAACTGTACGAAATATTTCGGTGTTTTGTTGTCAACCTCAGCCTGTTACTAGTGTCAACATGTTAGTTGTTACTTGTTAAGTTGTTACCAGTTACCACTTACAGGTATTTTTTCATGTTTCAGTTTGTTTACAGTTATTTTTATACAGTTATTTTTATGTTTCACCTTCCCTACATGGATGTCTACTTTAATCTACCAATCTCAAAAATAATCCACATATATATACAAATAAAAGACTGATTTTTTTATATGTGTATGTGGATAATTTTTGAGATTCGTAGATTAAAGTAGACATCCATGTAGGGAAGGTAAAACATAAAAATAACTGTAACTTTTATTTACTGTATCTAACCCATACTAGTTCGGATAGGTTAATTGCAATAAAGTTGCATTGATATGTTTTGAAAATGTTTTATTATCATTAAATGTTTATGAGTAAATCCCAATAGCAGAACAACAAATATTTAGAGATTTCCAATAATTTTGGCCATTGTAGCGGCTAATGTAGCGGCGCTACATTTTACTGTAGCGGTAGCGCTCGCTATAATCTAGTGGGTGTAGCGGTAGCGGTAGCGCCCGCTATATTTAGAGCATGTAGCGGTAGCGCCACTACATTTCAAAGTAGCGCTGCCCAGCTCTGCCCATCACATGGCTCAAACATGACCCAAAACTGGATTCAGGGTCACATCCCAGCGTTCATTAGCAAAAATGAATGGCCCTCAAGAAACCCTGATTTGAATCCTTTCGACTTTTCCGTGTAGGCTATTTTAGAGGGTAGGGTCTGCAGAACACCTCATGATTCTTTTGGTAGTTTGAAGTCTAAATTGACACGAGAATGGGACTTGATCCCTCAAGAAATGCTGCGTGTCTGCTGGGAAGTTTTCCCGCGTAGAAGCCATCATAAAAAATGAGGATGGTAATATTGAATAAATATGTCTGAGAATTGTTTAGGTAATTCTTGGCTACTAGCTCATCCAATAAAAAACAATGCACCTGTTTGTTTCATTGAGAAATAAAAAAAAACATGCGTTACCATAAATATTGCGGACCCTGTATTCCTTACTCAGGTCAGAGATTGTTTCATTTGGTTTTGTCTCGAGTAATTTGCCGAAGGAGTTTATAAATATTTGAACGGAATCGCTGTCTGGGAAATACGCGTGTGTCAATATGGCCAGCAATATGTCCTAATAGGATTATTGCGGGCAGTTTTTTCATATCGACTGCATCAGAGCCACTATATTATGTGGGATTTTTATCATTTGAATGGCTATCTTCATTACGTCCATACTGTTCTTAGTCAAATATCCTATTGGTAAGTGCTGATTATTTTCACCAAATGCAGTTGGTTCCACGAGTCCAACGGTCATTGTCATATCTTAGGCGTACCACTACGACATCTAAGTGCTACTCGATCCCAAAAAATGTAGAAAACACTGTGCTGTAGAACGGGGCAAAGGACAGAGGCAAAATAACAGGTATAAAGAGGTTGAGGCAGCTGTATTTACAATGAATGATTAACGACAGAAGTACAGTAATTTTACTTCACCTAATTCTTGTGACACATGTCTACAAGAAAGGTCCAATTCCCCTTAACAGGGACACACTGAAAGAAATAAAAGAAACCTTTACATAACTACCCACTTGGGGCCTCAGCCCAGCTAATTTGTGTTAAGCTCTTCATAAAAACAACAGAGGGAAACTGACACACTTCTTCGGCCATGTCGACTTCGCCACTGCAATGAAGATGACGTCGGTAGAAGATTTCGGACTGCGCCTGGAGAAGACGTTGAATTCTTTGGAGAAGTTCAATAGTGAGTAGGTTCGATCAGAACAGTGGGTTTTACATATCAGGTTAATCTATCAAATATGTTAGAAAATGTGTTATTTGTGTGTGTGTTGGAGCCGTGGAGCTGTAAATGCGTGCCCACAGTATTCATGCAATTGGATATTGCTTAGATTTAGAATTTGATTGTAATGTTGGTGTCATGGAGAATCATCAGTTAGGCAGGAGTGACGAATTGTAAGGTCGACTAATAAAAAATTTATTATTACTGACTCTATCATCACTATGATAAAAATTTTCCGACAAATTTTAAAACGGAAGTTGAGGGTTCTTTGTTAAATAAAGGTTTGAATGGGAGATCCATCAATTAACATTAATTCAGTTAAGACTATTTGATGGCAAAGACTGCAAATTACGAACGGAAACGGGATTTTCAAATATCATAAATTATCTATGTCCATTTATCTATTTTATGCCGGGATAGATTATTATGCCGGGTTTTGCTGCTGATATAAAAACAACAAAAACAAATGAAAATTTTTGTCATAAGAACGTTTCCAGCTTCTAATGAACAGGGACAGTAATAAAGTTTTTTCTTTAGGGACAACGATAAAGCTTAGTTTGGTGATGTGCGAGATTTGGTTTATGGTTTATTTGCGAGCGTATTACGAACAATCTCTACCCAATTACGAAAAACGCTAACTGATCAGTGCTAGTTTTCTGATACTTTTTTTCTGCAGATGTTGCCGTCAGCAGAAACATCAAGCCCGTAGACATCACGGAGCGATTGAAGTCAGTTCATAGCATCACCTTCATGCAGCTGCAAGACGATGAGGTGACGTGGGCCGTGGCTGTTACTGGAAAATTGTTGCTCGAGACTCACCAAGATGTAGACTAGCAGCTCACCTCAGAACTGGAAAAGCGTGAACTTGCATATTATGTGACTCTAAGAGCACCTCGTTACTTCTTTTCATACTAATATTATGGTAAATTATCCATAGACATAAATAGTGGAAAGCAATTGGGTCTTACATGCCATTTCAATGTCACGCAACCACATGCACTCTTCCCCTTCTATCTTTATCAAGGAAACGCGTGATAACGTCCAACTTATAATTAATTTAGGATATCATGAGTCATATGCACTTTATCATCAAGA